TGCATGCCCTACCTGCAGGGCTGCATTTACTCCCGGAAGTGAAAAACCGTTCCACTTTTTGAAGAATTTTATGGACGATGTCAAACCGACCACCGGTTCACCTTGCGAAGAGTGCAGTACTACGTCTGAATTACAAGATTGCGGTCACTGCTCCAAGAAGCTGTGCGCAGATTGTTGTGCTAAGCATTTGCAAGATGTAGGTTGTGATTTTCCGCATAAGCGGTCCTTTGTCTCTCAACTTTTTTTCACTAATCTTTGAGACACGGCAATTTTTCACGTAACATACCCTGCACATTTCGTTAAATAATGTTATCCTTTGTAGCGATTTCATCTTTTTCACAAAATAAAAGAGCTAACCTAGGAGATGCGTGTATGGACTGAATAGGTTGTTTGGCACCTTGACTGACGGTGCAGGACGGGCTCATTATAGTCCCGCAGTTGTGCGGGCTGTTGATTTAGGGCAGTTGCGCTGGAATCATGGTGCATCTGGCAAAATGCGTGAAGATTTAATGATATGTCAGTTGACGCCTTTAAATGCTTGAAGAGTATTATCCGCATCATCGATTTGGGCGGCGACCTCCTTATTCTGCCGCTTTGGCAGCAATATAGTTCCCAGAGCGCTTGTCGCTCAGCTCATTGCTAGAGTACTTGCTTTCAAGAACAATTGGATCTATTTTAGCTCATTAATTATGACCTTGTAACAAGTTGAAGCCATTCAATTTTTTTGACATGTGTGTGATCATTAAAAATTCCTTATTCGTTTACGTTTTGTAACCTAGTATAATTCTTGTAAAGATCATCCCTTGTCCCTCCTTTGTTTTCAGCTGAAGCAAGAAGTAGCGAAGCTATGTGATACTTTAAATACGGAGACTGGACCCACGCTTGAAAATCAGGCGGAAAAAATAGCATTACTGATGTCAAAATTGTCTAACACGAAGCAAGAGCTCAGTCAAAAGTTACAGGATGCGCATGACGTGCTCGTGACGCAAATCCATGATTTGCGAGAGCGCAGTATTGAACTTGTGAACAAAGTCGAACAGAATTCGCTATCGGATATTGACGAACAAATCACGGAAATTGATACGCTTCTTGCCCGTATTGACACCGTATGCGCAAAATCAGCAGACATTGAAAAGGAACGAGTAAGTATCATTTGATAATTTTCTTTTGATCTCAGGTGCCGACGACGTACCCGTCCTTTACACTTTTTAGTAGATTTGGCAAAGTAGTATTGTGATAGCCTTTCTCATGACAGATTAAGCCTGCACTGTTGCACTCCACCTGTTTCTAGAGTGACCACCCTCTACAACTGCTGACTGGTGGTTGATTTGAGCGATTTTTTTCTGCTAACAACGATGCCCGGCCTAACTGTGGTAGCCTTGTTTTGGCAAGGTATGGAATTCGCCAGTTCAGCTGAGTTGCGCTCCATAAACACGATTCGGCGACATTTAATTGTTGGCTGCCGAGCATTACCCCCACATCTGTGGCGATTTCAACAGCGTCTCTTGTTGGCATAGGTTCGAATTCACCCTGAAAGATCGAGACAATGCCTGAGAGCAGGTATCGTTGAGAATGACGCCTATGGTGCTCGTGTCATCCTAAGAATTGTGTTGAATTGCTTTCTAGTTCTGGATGATGTTTATAAGGTGCATCCGTGCAGTGAACTACTGACGATAGTTAGGTACAGTGAAACCCCTGTTAATGAGTTTTATCCGTTCTGGCACTGAGTTCGTCATGTGAGACGCTGGTCTTGCGAAACGTAGCCAGTCAAACTGCATCAGATAACTTATTGGCTGCAGGCGACCGAGGAGCTGGGAGCAAGACTCAAGACACAAGCTCTCACACACGTGCAAAAAATCCTTAACTAAACGGAAGCTCGTCAATCGAAACAATCTTTATGCTAGTAGCTAACTCGTAGATTGTGTTGTTCGTCATCCGAGGCTCCATTGTTTATTTTTTTCACTTTGTTTTTCGGTCATTAATGCAGATTCTGTTACGGACTTATCTCCAAAGCCAGTTTGCTTGTTCCATTTTGCTTAACCCTTTCACCGTGATAGACACCACATCACCTTCGGACCATTCAAGTGCCTGCTACAACAGTTCTGTTTATACTCAAAACCAACCTGATTACTTACTATTCTTGTGCAAGACTTTGTGCGTCAAATTTGGTGGGTTGAGTGCAAATAACGACGTTATATCAAAAAAAATCATGATTTCGTCCAGTTGAATCCCCCCAGCTCGCTGTTCTACGGTTACTTGTGAGGTAGGTCAAACTGCCTTGAGGGAACA